AGAGTAAGGTAAGATAACTGAAGAAGCAAATTATCTGACAAAAAGAGAGAAATAGAGTGTTAGCAAAAGCTAAATGGGTATATAATGTATATGAGAGTAAAATAGTATAACAGTACAGTGTGGTAAGTATTATTTGTTTGTAGATATTATTTTTAATCCTAACAAGTAAATATCTCTTGCTACCATACAAGGAGCAGGTAGGGGTATGTTATAATTGCATGTTTGCATATGGTTATTTACTCTTTAACCAGCTTTCAGAAGATATGCTGCAGAGGGTCTGTAAGGGTGGCTCATTTTCTATAATGATGAACATAATAATCGCTCTTCTGTGTGAGTACACTAACAGATAACATCTACATCTTTAAGTGAAACTGTTTTCTATCTATTTAATCTGAAAGGATTCATTTAATTTTTCACTTCTTTTCTTCAAGGTGTTCTGGCAAACCAAGTCATAAGCCAAACCGAAGGTAAGTTCAGTTTCCTTCATTACAAGATATGTCTCTTCTGTATTCCTAAATGTTACTAGGTTGCGCTCATCATTACCTATATTGCTCACTATGATGTCACGCAGATATTTTTCCTGCAAAGATCCTGGCGCAGCAGACGATTATAAGTGAAAACAGTGACCTTTATGTAACATGCAGCACATTTGGGAAAAAGAAAGACTCCATGGTTTTTATTTATTTGTTAATAAACGAGTGCGGAATCCAGTATCTCGCCCAGAAGAAAGATCGAAGTGACACCCTGTTCACCATATCCAGAGCTAGTCTTAATCACAGTGGAAATTACAGCTGTGTTTATTCCCCGAATCATTATACACTTTCTGAAGTAGCCAAGAAAGGAGACGACATCATTCAGATTCTGGTCATAGGTAAGTGTTTTGACTCCTGAACATATGATGTCATTGTTATTTCTTTCCACTCATTTTCTCCTGTTTCCATGCAGCCAATTTTCTCCCAGCAGATATTTCAATAGTTGGGCCATCCACTCTTCATGAGGGAAACTATCTTGAATTCCAGTGCACAGTGTCTCAACATATTCAAACTCTTGGTGGATGTAAATTCATCTACGCTTACCTGAGGAAGAATGACACGATTCTGCTAGTGCAAGTCTTTAATGTCTCTCAGATGCTGACAACTTTCATCATCGATGGTGCGGTTTTGAGGGATTCAGGTCATTACAGCTGCATAGTGCTGCCATCAAAATGCATCTATGAGCATGAGTACACAGTTCATGGAACAAACAATGTATTTCTTCAGGTCAAAGGTAAGAATGTCTGTATGCTTCAAAAATCTTTCAAATAGATAATTTTTAAATTTTTAAATTTTAGTTTATTCTGTCTTTTTGTGCTTTCCAGTGAATTTAATCTCTTCAAGGTTACTACGTTATGGAGTGATAACCTTGATGGTATTACTGGTGGTGTGCCTTTGGTGGATCATACAACAAACAGGCAAATGCGCACATGCTGGAGGAACGGCAGGATGAGAGAGGGGGACGATCTAGATCAGGAGTGTCAAACTGATTTTATGTTGCAGGCCACACACAGCCCACTAGTTAAGTGGTGAAACTCCCCTTTCTGTCAGTGGAAAGAAGTTATATATTTAACTGTTTTTCTAAATGATAAAGAAAAAGCTGCTGTAATGAAGAAATAAATCCCCCAGGACAACTCTTTGGACTTATGGTCTCTGTGATGACGAGAAGAAAAACAGTCAAAGACAGCAGGACAGAGATACACAGTGTTACTTTCTCACCACAGTTAGAGGGCAAATATTTATATTTATATTGTAAGATATAAATAGCTCATTTTTGTATATTTAATATTAAATTTCATTTTTTTAATTTGAGAAGAATTTTCTAGCAATTTTTTCAAGGTTTTACAGCAATAATACATTTTGACAGTCATTGAGGTGACTTTGATTTCTAACACACAAATAAGAGATCTTATGAAGATCATGATCAGCAGTGTGCCAAATAACATGTTTTTTTTAAACACTAAAGGCACTGTAAAATATGGGTAACTAATTGGTTTTCTTATCTTGATCTGTAGAATAAAAAGGCTGGATTGATCACATCATTCACAAGAATAATAAAACTAACATTTTCAGCTTATTATCACGATGTTTTTGTTCTTTTGCACCAGCAGGGTTGTATCTGTTAGTTCACTGAGTGTCACCGGAAGACCACAGGGTATATATGGTGTGTGTTTCATGCTGTCTGAATTAGAATAGTTAATTCTGTCATGAAAAATGGTGAACAGAAAAGAGGCAAGCTTATGAGTGTCTAAACAGAGATGGCCATGGCTGCTACTTAACTTCAAACTGTCAAACCACAGATGATCTGCCTGCAAGATCAAGCCCACAGTTTTCTTCCCCTATTTGCCCTTCAGTCCACATTCCAGCTAATTCATGACCGAAGCGAATGCTAATGCAATTAAAAATGAAAGGGATACTTTTCATTCTGACTTATAGCATCAAGTCAAATACATTTCTGGGATGTTGATTTGGTTAATTGATTAGCAGACCGGTGTTGTCGGCTTTAGCTACGCTGGATGGGCAACAATAAGATAACCCCCAAAGCACAAAAGGTTTCACAGGTGCAGGCCACTTACCTAGCCATTTTATTCTACAGCAGTAGGGTTACCACATACAAAGCTGTGAAAGAGGTTTTTTGCTTTTGCTTTTTTGCAAAAACTGCCTAAAAAGTCTGATGTCAGTAGCTATTCCCCGGTACAAACTTCTGTTCCCAAATTCAAACAGACTCTGTGGCACCACTGAGAGTTTAAAAGAGCCCAGAAATTTAGATCTCCAATAAAATGATTGTAGTGGCTTCTCTCCCATGTGTTACAATAAGGTTTAACATACATGCATCCATAGAAAAAAAGATTTTCAATGTTCAACAGAGTTAGAAGTTGAAGAAGCAGGAAGTTAGCTCGCTATCATTTCTATCTAAAGATGATTTGCCATGTACTGACCCAGAGATTTCTAAAAAACTAAAACGTATGGCTTGTCAGACATTAATAAAGACAGAAAGAAATTAAGTAGTGTCAGTGTTTGTATTGAAGTTGGGCTGGCATGTAATGATATGCTACCTGATGGCTAGCTACAATGCTATGGTTAGAATAATGAAATAATAGAACATAAATAAATCAGCACAGTGAAGATGGGGGATGAAGGTAATTTTTTTTTTTACCCAATGGGCAGAAAAAAATGCAATCGTATGGCAGGGCAAAGATACTGAAAACAGACCAAACCTCAGTCAAAATATCACCTGAGATGATCCATCCAAAACATGTGTTCAGTCACTAATATGACAGATTATGGCCACTCTTGGTAGGTTTATCATTTTTATTTCTTTTAAAATAATAAAAAAGGATATGCAATGTAGATTTTCAGCATGATTTTGTCTGTGATTGTCTTTTGATCTATGACCAAGCTCAAATTGATTTGGTGCTGATAGGGGCTCCTATTAACCTGAAAAACTTCTGGAGGAAAGGTGAATGAATTATTAATGATGCACCTAAACGTGATAATAAATACAAGTGCTGTGAAGAGATCTAAACAGATATCACATACTTTTTATACATTTGCAGTTTTCCTCTTTTCTATGCAGTCACCATGATTAGTCCTTGCCTCCTCATCTCCTTTCTCACTGTGCTTATCTTCCAGTGTTGGGGAGTAATGGAATACATGTACCAGCGTTAAGTATTTAAAATACAAATTATTTGTTAATTACCAGGGCAGAGAGTGATCCTGAGAAGGTGACTGCTGGCAGTGTTCAGACGATGCATTTGATAACCTGTTGCTATAAAATCAACCTAAAGAGAAGTTGGAAGTTAATTTATTTTTAGTTTCCAGAAACCACATCAAACTGTTCCACTTTTTAAAAAAAATTTTTAGTTTCATGTGAGACTCTTTGACACTTTGCTCAAAGGCTGACATCCTGTGGTAAATCTTTGTTACTACAAGTTACTTCCTAGTTGTTTTAAAGAGATAAGTAACTTAATTTGTTCAGCTTGCTGCAATACATGCGCCCTTATTTGATTGGACATTAAAAGTTACAAATGCATTATAAGAGGTCCTGCCTAACTCTGAAGCAGTTACTTTCTGGAACATGTAATAATTAAGAAAATGTAATTTGTGAATTTTGAGGATATTTAAACACTGTGTACAAAGACAAAAAGGACCTTTGGAAAAAGTAGTGTAACCATGTGACCCACTCCTGGATACACGTTAATCTAGAATTGTAAGAAGATAGATTTGAGTGCACATCTGTAAATTAGAGTATATTCATAGAACACGCACACACACACACACACACCTTGCGCAAGTTCAGTAAATTGCAAGTTGCATTTTTCTGAAACTTTTTATGAACACCCCACCACTCCCAGAGGAAAAACTGAAATTGTCAAGCATTTGAATAAAACAACACTGGATCCTTTACAAAAATGCAAAGCAAATAATATTGTTCTTTTTCTGGATATCCAGAGGAAAAGGTTTGGCCCAAGTCAGTATAATCTGTTGAAGTCAGCCGGATCAGAATCAGTCAAAGTGCACTTTTAAATCGGTGTTCAGCTTTGTGTTATGGTCAAAGCCTCACTTTTATGAGTGTATATGTGTGTGTTTGAAAATCTATGGAAATCTTTTACATATATTTACGGTGGCCCTGAGAGGCCAAACAGACTGCAACTTCAGAAGTATTATATATTTCCTCAGTGAGCGCGAGTGAAAGAAGATAAGCATCCTGTATTGGGTATAATTGTCTGTATGTCAGAATGACTTATTATACAACTAAAGAAACATCAGTGGAAATCAATTTGTGATATGAGGTATTTGACAGTAAAATGGTTTATTTTTTGTAGATATTATTTTTTATCCAGTCAAAAATGTTGAACGTGTCACCTTACAAATAACAGGAAGTGGTTCAATATAGTTTCTCCATATTTACTCTCTGTGGTTTGAGCAAGACTTTTGAGAAGCTTTCAGAAGATACGCTGCAGAGAGTCTGTAAGGGCGGCTCATTGTCTATAACGATGAACATAATAATTGCTCTTCTGTGTGAGTGCACTAACAGATAACATCTATGTCTTTCAGTCAAACTGTTTTCTATTTAAGCTGAAAGGATTCATTAGATTTTTCACTTCTTTTCTTCAAGGTGTTCTGACAAATCAGGTCATAAGCCAAACCGAAGGTAAGTTCAGTTTCCTTCATTACAAGATATGTCTCTTCTGTATTCCTAAATGTTACTGAGCTGCATTCATCATTACATATACTACTCACTATGATGTCTCACAGATATTTTTCCTGCAAAGATCCTGGCCCAGCAGACAATTATAAGTGAAAACAGTGACCTTTATGTAACATGCACCACACTTGGGAGAAAGAAAGACTCAAGTGTCCATGTTTATTTGTTAGTAAATGGGTGCGGAATCCAGAATCTCACCCAGAAACAAGATCAAAGTGACACCCTGTTCACCATATCCAGAGCTAGTCTTAATCACAGTGGAAATTACAGCTGTGTTTATTCCCCGAATCATTATACACTTTCTGAAGTAGCCAAGAAAGGAGACAACAGCATTGAGATTCTGGTCATAGGTAAGTGTTTTGACTCCTGAACATATGATGTCATTGTTATTTCTTTCCACTCATTTTCTCCTGTTTCCATGCAGCCAACTTTCTCCCAGCAGATATTTCAATAGTTGGGTCATCCACTGTTCATGAGGGAGACTATGTTGAATTCCAGTGCACAGTGTCTCAACACCTACATACACTTGGTGGATGTAAATTCATCTACGCTTACCTGAGGAAGAATGTCACGATTCTCCAAGTGCAAGTCTTTAATGTCTCTCAGATGCTGACAACATTCATCATCGATGGTGCAGTTTTGAGGGATTCAGGTCATTACAGCTGCATAGTGCTGCCATCAAAATGCTTCTATGAGCATGAGCACACAGTTCATGGAACAAACAAAGTATTTCTTCAGGTCAAAGGTAAGGCTCTCTGAATGTTTCAAAAATGCTTTTTTAAATTCTTGTTTATGCTGTCTTTTTGTGCTTTCCAGTGGATTTCATCTCTCTGGGGTTACTGCGTTATGGAGTGATAACCTTGATGGTATTACTGGTGGCGTCCCTTTGTGGATCAAACAAACAGGCAAATGCACACATGCTGAGGAAATGACGGGATGAGAGAGGGGGACGATCTAGATCAGGAGTGTCAAACTGATTTTATGTTGCAGGCCACACACAGCCCACTAGTTAAGTGGTGCACTGGCGTAAGTTTGTGCTGGGGGGGGGTCGTCAATATCTCTGACTAAATAAATCTGATTCCCAGATGACTAAACATGCAACTATTTTGCTGGTAATACCTGAAGTGAGTAAAGAAAATCAACAGCCTATTTATGCAAGATAATTCATAATTTTATGGGGAGGTGAGGTGGGGTGGGGGGTATATTGGTTGAGTCTGATTATTGGAGGGGGGGTGTCATGAACCCTCTGGAAATTACGCCCCTGAAGTGATGAAACTCCCCTTCCTTTCATTGTAAAGAAGTTACGTATTTAACTGTTTCTCTACGTGATAAAGGAAAATAAATATATCGGCACAACTCTTTAAATTGTAAAATATAAATATGTAAAATTACAGAAAAAGTTCTGGTAGCTCATTGCCCAGATTGTCAAGTTCTGGATTTTTGTTGTTGTTGTTTTAAACTGTAATCCTCAAAAATAGAAATTTCAATAGTAGAAGATTTATAAAAGAAATCTGTCTTTTTTTTTCTTTTTTTTGCCTTATTACTTTGTATATTTAATATTAAATTTCTCTTTTTTTTAATTTCAGAAGATTTTTCTGGCAATTATTTCATGGTTGAAGGCTTTACAGGAGGTGTGGAGACCTCCAGGCCTCAAGGCCCGGTGTCCTGCAGGTTTTAGATATCATTCTGGGTCAATACATCTGAATCAAATGTTTAGTTCATTACCAGGCCTCTGGAGAACTTCAAGACATGTTGAGAAGGTAATTTAGCCATTTAAAGCAGCTGTGTTGGATCAAGGACACATCTACAACCTGCAGGATACCGACCCTTCAAGTCTGGAGTTCCCCCACCCCTGCTTTACAGCATTAATGCCTTTTGACAGTCATTGAGTTGACTTTGATTTCTAACAATAACCTAATAAGAGGTCATGAGTTTGCATACCAAATAACATATTTTTAACACTAAACACTGTAAAATATGGTTATCATTATAATACAATATACAAATACATGAGAATATGAGAAGTCCCCTTGCTTATCAAATGCAAAATGTTGCTCATTATAATGCTGTTTTTGCTGTTTCACGCCAGCAGGGTTGTGTCTGTTAGCTCACTGAGTGTTACAGAAAGACCGCAGGATAGATGTGGCGTGTCTTTCATGCTGCCTGAATTAGAATAGTTAATTCTGTCTTGAAAAACAGAAAAGAGTCAAGCTCATACGTGTATAAACAGAGATAGCTGCTGATGACTGCTACCTTTCTTCAATGAATACAGAAAGACAGAAACAAGGTTGTGTCAATGTTTGTAGGGTTAATGAAGTTGTGCTATCTGGCATATAATGCTGTGCTACCTGATGGCTACCTACAATACTATTGTTAGAATAATGAAATAATAATACATAAATAAATCAGCACAATGAAGATGGCAGGTGAATGTAAACATTTTTCCCCGATGGGGAGAAAAAATGCAATCATATGACAGGGCAAAGACACTGAAAACAGACCAAACTTCAGTCAAGATGTCACCTAAGATGATCCATCCAAAACATGTGTTTAGTCATTAAACAGTATGCACACTATGCTGCTGTGTGGTTTGGATTACTCACTATGACAGATTTCCACCCTCTGTAGGTTTATCATTTTCATTTACATCAAATATTTGAAAAAGTATATATAAAATATGTAGATTTTCAGCATGATTTTGGGATTTTTTTTTTTCTGATGTGTTTTCATGGATCTACGACAAAGCCCAAATTGATTTGGTGCTTACAGGGGATCCTATCAACCTCAAATACTTCTGGGAGAAAGGCGAACGGATTATTATTGTAGGCGCCAGACATCTGCTTTATATTTTTGTTTACAATTGAGTTCGTGTTCGTTTCATAATTCATAGATTCATTACATAAGTCATCTTTACAGGATTAATTATGTGTTTACATAAAGTAATGTTATGTCACTGTTTGGGATTGGAACCTAAAAAGGGGTACCTCTCACTTTAAGTATGTAAGTGCAATAGTAGCATGAAACCCTGTGTGAGGGGGAAGGGGAGGAGCATGGACAGAGAGGTTAGGAGTCACATGGTTTTTCTGACCGTGTGCACAGGTAGTTCTGGATAACTGCTTATTTTTTGGAACTTTCATGCTTACTTAGGAAGGAGTTCATTGTTATATCTTCAGTTTGCAATAAATAAACAGTCTTCACATCATAATGCAACTGGAAGCATTTCTTTTGGAAACCAGGAACACGCGTCAGCCATAGACTCTCTTCTTGAACTTGGTTTATTGGAAATTACCCTACAATTATTGACACACCTGCTTATAAACGTGATAACAAGTAAAAGTGCTGTGAAGAGATCTGAACAGATCTATCACATACTTTTTATGGATTTGCAGTTTCCCTCTTTTCTATGCAGTCAGCACGATTAGTCCTTGCCTCCTCATCTCCTTTCTCCCTGTGCTTGTCTTCTACTTGCCCTCTGACTGTGGTGAAAAAGTAACACCATGTATATATGAGAGACCATGACACCAAAGATGTATAACCATGCAAGTGGGTTTCTTGAAATGCTGCCCAGAGTGATTTTCATGACCAGGCCAGAGAGAGAAGGTGACGGTTAACAGTGTTCAGACTATTAGTTAAAAAATTCTGTACCATTCATTAAGTCCCATGCAAAACCAGGACAAAACATCAGGCCCCGAACAACAGAATGATATCAAGTCTCTGTTGGTTGGTTTCTTCTGTGTTTCCAGATACCACATTACACTCTTCATTTAGAAAAAACTTGATTTAGATGTTCGTGTTTGGAAATCAAGCGGCACAAACTGTGTTCAAAGTATGAAAGTACCATCCAACGGTAAATCTCTGTTACTTTAAGCCACTCCCAGGTTGTTTTTATAAAGGGATATGTAACGCAGTTTCTTCAGATTGATGAAATAAAATGTCTTGTAAAGACATTTGAAAAAACATGTAAAATTTCTGTAGAGATTATTTTACATTTGAATAGCTATAGCTGTTGTCAATTTTGATTTCCTATATAATTTCCCAGAGCAGTGAGAGTGAATGAAGATAGGATCCTATATTGGGTACTACTGTCGGTATGTCAGACTGAGTTACTGTACAGCAATAGAATCAGAGCACTTGAAGAGGCTGAGTCAACTCTGGGTCCAGGGTTAGGGTTACAAGGTCAAGTGTAATCAAATACCTAATAATCAAAAAAATTTTGGTTCCATATTTTTTCTATATGGCGTTCCAGGGTAATAAGACAGATCACATATTGTACTTCAGTAAACCTGCATGTTTTGTTTTCTTTTAAAATCTTATGTTTTAAAACAGTTCATTCAGTTTTGTGCACACCACGGTGCACACCATACTTCTATACCAGAAGTATAGAGTGATTTATAACAGGTATTACCAGTAACAGGTATTAAAAGTATTACCAGTATAAAAATACTGGTAATACTTTTATGTACACTTTACAAAACTCAAATAAAAAAGTATCAAAACAATATAGAAAGGTGAGTGCTCAACATATTTTGGCAGTCGTGAATCTGTGTATACTATGATTGCATGGCGTTTGACTTCCTTATACTGTAAAACTCATGGTTATGATATCTTTTAAAAATTACATAGGTGACTTCACTGCTAACATGCATAAATTGGCAGTATGAGGAATGCAGTTGTCAAATCCAACATTTATTACCTGTCAGTAGCTGTTTTGTCATTTTGAGTTTTACAGCTCAATAAGGTTAGATTGAGGACAAGTTTGATAAGAATAACAAAAACAAACACGAGCAGCTTATTATAAACCTTTTTTGTCCCTTCAAACCAGCAAGTTTGTCTGTGTTACTTCACTGAGTCTTACAGGAAGACCACAGAACAGGTGTGCTTCTTGAATTAGAATAGTTAATTCTGTCATGAAAAACGGTAACCAGAAATGAGGGGAGAGGCAACCTCACAAGTGTCTAAATAGAGATGACCGTTTCCAACCACAGACAATCTGCCTGTAAGCTGCCAGCATGCCTGTGTGCCGCCTCCTTCAAACATTAAAATAAAGGCAACAGCTTTGTCAGCCCCATATTTTCTTTAATCCATGTTCCAGTTAATGTTAGTCCATTCACCAATTTGATCAACTAAACTGCACAATGAAGAAAAGTTTGATTCTTGGACAAACAACAAAGCCAAGGCCAACTTGGGGCTGATTAGTTCAACTACAAGCCTCAAGGACTTCTGTGAGACAGACAAATGGGTTATTGTTGATGAACCTGGTTATAAACACAACATTAAGTAGAACTAGTGAAAGGAGATCTACAAAGATATAACACACTTTTTGTGCATCCGTCATCTCCCTCCTTTCTTTGCAATTAACATGATCATCCCATGAATCCTAATCTCCTTTCTCACAGTGCTTGTCTTCTGCCTGCCCTCTGACTGTGGTGAAAAAGTTACACTGTGTATCTGTCTATCACGATGTGTATGACTCTCCTACCCTTTGCCATCAGATATACCTCGTCATCTACTGCTTTCTGTTGAACATCCGCTACCATGCATTGCTGATTAAAGCATGCGTCTTAACCTCCAACTGTTGCCAGGCTGATATTAATAACCTAGCAGAGAGTGATCCTGAGAAGGTGACTGCTGGCAGTGTTCAGACGATGCATTTGTTAACCTGTTGCTTTCATTCGTTAGATACTCTGCAAAAACAGCAACACCCCCCATTTGAAAAAAGAAAATGCAATTTCATATTGAAGTTAGGATTCTGAAATCAGGCCTTTGCCATAAGCTCTCTTTTATGATATTCTTGTCACTAAATTGCCCCCTGTGGCTTTTTGTGTGGAATCACTGGCCTCAATAGGCAAGGCAAGGCAAGGCAAGTTTATTTGTATAGCACAATTCAACAACAAGGTGATTCAAAGTGCTTTACAGAGACATTAGAAACAAGAACAAATAAAAAGCATGATTTAAAATTGAATAACACAAGCAAATAAACTAACTAACTAATTAACAAACAAACAAACAACAGTATATAAAATCAAAACAGATAGTGGCTAAAACATTTGCCCAGTACCACATGCAAAGTGGTTAGCACTATTCTTCACATTGAGACAGTCCTGGGCTTAAACCCAGGCAGGCTGAGCTTACATGAGTTTTATCTGGGATCTTTAAATTATCCTGTAAATGAGATGACGAGATGAGTTAAAGTTCCCTGTCTTGACCTAAGACACACTTGGAAAAAAGATGCTAAATCAGATCTACTGCACTAACAAAGAAAGACTGTGACTCTTTCTCCTTGCTTAAATTAAATATATAAAATCAACCTAGAAAGATGGTGTAAGTTAATTTATTTTTAGTTTCCAGAAACCACATCAAACGATTCCACTTTTTTTTAAATTTAGAGTTTCATGTGAGACTCTTTGGCACTTTGCTCAAAGGCTGACATCCCATGGTAAATCTTTGTTACTACAAGTTACTTCCTAGTCATTTTAAAGAGATATGTAACTTAATTTGTTCAGATTGCTGCAATACATGCGCCCTTATTTGATTGGACATTAAAAGTTACAAATGCATTATAAGAGGTCCTGCCTAACTCTGAAGCAGTTACTTTCTGGAACATGTAATAATTTAAGAAAATGTAATTTGTGAATTTTGAGGATATTTAAACATTGTGTACAAAGACAAAAAGGACCTTTGGAAAAAGTAGTGTAACCATTGTGACGTTTACAGATATTTTATTTCGAAAAGGTCGAATGTAAGCCGGAAAGGGGGTTAGGAAAAAGGAAGGAAAACATTAGAGCAACAAGTTAGTGCTGCAGATTATGTTGCCGCTGCAAGCCTGAGAATTAAAGAATGGAACTGATAAATACTGAAGTTGTTATCATTAATGTTTGAGGCATGCAAACGTAAGCATGTGACCCACTCCTGAATACACGTTGATCTAGAATTGTAAGAAGATAGGTTTGAGTGAATCTGTAAATAATATTATATTTATGAAACACACACACACACACCGCAAGTTTCATTTTTCTGAAACTTTTCATAAATCTTTTATGAACACCCCAGCATGCCTGGGATAAAAGCTGTAATTGTCAAGCATACAGACACACTGGACACTGGATCCTTTACAAAAATGCAAAGCAAATAATATTGTACTTTTTCTGGATATCCAGAAAAAGAACCAGTCAGTCTAATCTGTTAAAGTCAGCTGAATCAGAATCAGTCAAAGTGCACTTTTAAATCAGTGTTCAGCTTTGTGTTATGGTGAAAGCCTCACTTTTGTGAGTGTATATATGTGTGTTTAAATATGTGTGAAAATCTATTATGTATATTTCCTCAGTGAGTGCGAGTGAAAGAAGATAAGCATCCTGTATCGGGTATAATTGTCTGTATGTCAGAATGACTTATTATACAACTAAAGAAACATCAGTGGAAATCAATTTGTGATATGATGTATTTGAAAGTAAAATGGTTTAAGAACACATTCCTCTGAATTTTATTTTTTGTAGATATTATTTTTTATCCAGTCAAAAATGTTGAAATATCACGTGTCACCTTACAAATAACAGGAAGTGGTTCAATATAGTTTCTCCATTTTTACTCTCTGTGGTTTGAGCAAGACTTTTGAGAAGCTTTCAGAAGATACGCTGCAGAGAGTCTGTAAGGGCGGCTCATTGTCTATAACGATGAACATAATAATTACTCTTCTGTGTGAGTGCACTAACAGATAACATCTATGTCTTTCAGTCAAACTGTTTTCTATTTAAGCTGACAGGATTCATTAGATTTTTCACTTCTTTTCTTCAAGGTGTTCTGACAAATCAGGTCATAAGCCAAACCGAAGGTAAGTTCAGTTTTCCTCAATACAAGATATGTCTCTTCTGTATTCCCATATGTTACTGAGCTGCACTTATCTTTACATATGTTAATCACTATGATGTCTCACAGATATTTTTCCTGCAAAGATCCTGGCCCAGCAGACAATTATAAGTGAAAACAGTGACCTTTATGTAACATGCAGCACATTTGGAAAAAAGAAAGACTCAAGTGTCCATGTTTATTTGTTAATAAACGAGTGCGGAATCCAGAATCTCACCCAGAAACAAGATCAAAGTGACACCCTGTTCACCATATCCAGCGCTAGTCTTCATCACAGTGGAAATTACAGCTGTGTTTATTCCCCGAATCATTATACACTTTCTGAAGTAGCCAAGAAAGGAGACAACATCATTCAGATTCTGGTCATAGGTAAGTGTTTTGACTCCTGAACACATGATGTCATTGTTATTTCTTTCCACTCATTTTCTCCTGTTTCCATGCAGCCAATTTTCTCCCAGCAGACATTTCAATAGTTGGGTCATCCACTGTTCATGAGGGACACCATATTGAATTCCAGTGCACAGTGTCTCAACATATTCAAACTCTTGGTGGATGTAAATTCATCTACGCTTACCTGAGGAAGAATGTCACGATTCTCCAAGTGCAAGTCTTTAATGTCTCTCAGATGCTGACAACTTTCATCATCGATGGTGCGGTTTTGAGGGATTCAGGTCATTACAGCTGCATAGTGCTGCCATCAAAATGCTTCTATGAGCATGAGCACACAGTTCATGGAACAAACAAAGTATTTCTTCAGGTCAAAGGTAAGGCTCTCTGAATGTTTCAAAAATGCTTTAAATAGACGTATTTTTTATAATAATGTATTATTTTTATACTGAAATATATTTTTAAATAAATTAATCATCTTATTTTACTTTCCAGTTGATTTGGTGTCTACAGTATTACTCCATGTTGGAGTAATAACCTTGATGCTATCACTCGGGGCATGTCTTTGGTGGATTTGCAACAAAATAGGTCAAATAAGTATAATTAAAAATAATTTTAGGCTTCACATTTTTTTCACAAGTCATTGTTTATTGTATGGATTAATCAAACCAACCACATAATATAGCCGAATATACCTGCATGCAATATTTTGCTTTAAAATTATATTTGTTTTGCGTTTCAACAGTTCGCTCAACTTCTTGCAGACCACGGTGAGCTTTAATTCAATATGCATAATTTTTTGGACACTTCTGTGATTTTTATTATTAGGAAAATTATTTTTTTATGTTTTGTCTTTGTGTGTAAAGTTCTATATACTGAATGCACTATATCACTGAAAAAGTGAATGTACCACTGAAATATGTTTCGTTTGTTTTGTTTTACAGTGCAACGACTCAGAAGGCAAATTCAGACATGTTGGAGGAACAGCAGGAGCAGGAAGAGTGGGAAGACGGTATGGTCAAAATGGAGTTACAGTCAAGACATACTGTAGGGAATTTTTGATAAAGTTACATATGATGACTTAGAATGAAAATCTTATCTGTGTTCTGCTCTTTTCTAATCCAAGAAAGGATTTCTGTGTAATTTCACAAACAGTTATACATTCATATTCTTTCAAACAAAAAAACTATTTAAAACTATTCAAATCACATCTGTTTCATTAACGACTAAATTTTTCAAAGCTTTCAAAAGTGAGCTATATACAGCTGTTATAAATAGAAATTGCTATGAACTTTAATTTTTCTCTGTATTTCACTGTGTTTTTGTGTGTGTGTTTTTATCAGAAAAAGAAGACTCTTTCAGCATAGAGTATGATGACGCGTAAGAATATATTTTTATTTTCAACATCTGTACACTTAAAAAATGTGTAATAACAACAAAAGCATGAGCAGTAATGAAATCTGATCATTAACAACATTTTATCATCAGGTGTCCAAACAATCTGGCAGCTGAGGTTTCATTGCCTTCTGAAAATTTTGAAGACGCGTACACTGTTGTAGGTAAGCGATCACATTGTGTTTCATTGTGCTATAATAGACATAGTTTTGATGCCTTTTAACAGTCATTCAGGTGACTTTATTGCCTAACATGAACATAAAAGAGATGATAAGTCCCATAACATTAATCAGCAGCATGCCAAGTAATACATTTTACTAAAGTACGGTACTAAAAGTACTTTAAAATTAATATATTCAGTGAATCACAATTGGCAATGTAAGATGAATGCAACATGATGACATGTTGCATTATCAAATACAACATGTATTACCTAAGAGTAGTTATTATGTCTTCTAGTCTTGAGCTGGATTGAGCATGAAGTTATTAGAATAAGAAAACATATTGTTGGGAACTTATTACAAATGGTGTTTTAATACTTGAAACCAGAAGGTTTGTCTTTGTTGCTTTACTCAGTCTTACAGGAAGACCACAGGAAATGTGTGAAAGAGTGTTTCATGCTGCCTGAATTAGAATAGTTAATTCTGTCAGTAAAGATGGTTACCGGAAAAGAGGCGAAAGGCAAGACCATGAGTGTTGAAACTCATTAAACACATGTCTAAATAACACTTGCGACCACTATTTAACTGAAACTTTCCAACCACAGATGATGTGCCTGCAGATTCAAGGCCAGAATGCCTATATAGTTCATCAATGAAACGTAAAAAGAAAGACAACAGCGTCCCCACCCCCATTTCCTCTTCATTCTATGTTTCAGCTAATTAATGACTGCAGGCAATGATCATGTTCAGAATGAGTGGCAATGTTTTCTGAAAGTGTAGTGGCTGCGAAGCATCGGCATTCACAGATGTTTATCAGCAACACAGCGGAATTGAAAGACTTGCTCCAACTTGCTGTTTCTTGTTTCTTCATAAAACATTTTGATCAAAGGCATAGATGTACTTACCATGCTTTATAAAATAGTCTGCATTTTGCTTTCACTCTAGAGCATGCAGACATTAGTGTTTTATATTTTTCCTAGAGATGTGTTCACATTTTTGTGACCCCTTATTTCCATCAATCCATCATAAAAATGTATATAATATGTATATAATACAATAAAAAATACTCACTGTGTATAGCTTTCAAATTTACAATTATTATGTTTTTATTGTGGTAATTAGATGTATTTGTATTCAATAAATTGTTTCTAATCCATACAGAACATGTTTAATAAATTTGAGGTTGGGGTTTGGGAAGGCTATCACATTATCCTGCATAATTAAATAATTAAAATAGAAAAAGCACATTCTACTGTTCACCATGGGGACATAGACTGTGGACACAGGGATCAGGGTTTTATGGTTGTAATTTTTATTCAGTTGAATGAACTTTCACATTTGACAGTAGCTTTGATTTGTAACATAACTGGGGAAAACTACACTGAAATCTGCAAAATAACACAAACCATGTCTTATCATTTCTTATTCAACCTATTAGTTTTAATTTTTAGGCATTTTTCAAGACATACCAGCCTAAAGAACACAAGAGATTTTAAAAAAAAAGTAATTAATGCACCAGCAGCTAAAAAAGATAGTACTACATCTACAGAGTGGTAGGAATACCGGGACATTCTGTAGGACTCTGCTTTCAGGTGAGCTGCTCCTTTGTGCCTCATGACAAACTCTATCAAGAAGAGAGCGTTATCCAGTGACATTACTGGTTTATCTCTGTGTAGCCTGGAAAGTCTCTGCATGTTCGCCCTGTAGGAGGGATCATTCATGACTTCATGTAAGGCCTTCAGAAAATTATCATCTTTATCCACAATGGCTAATGTAAGAATTTTAGCTGCTCCTTTTTCTTTCAAGCGAAGCAGGTTATCATACTGGTCAAAAAACACAGGTAGGCCCACAATGGGAACGCCATGATAAATAGCTTCCTGGACTCTGTTTGTTCCTCCATGTGACACAAATAATTTTATTTTAGGGTGTCCTAAAAGGTCATTCTGTGGCATCCAATCAACAAATAAAGTGTTATTACCCAGACCAATTGGCCTGTCACCTTTATACTTCCAGATGACTTTCTGTGGTAGTTTAGCAAAAGCTGCAGCGATCTCATTTGTTATATCAGCAGGAAGTTCAGTCACAAAAGTCCCCAGAGACATGAGGATGAAGCCATGCTCTCCAGAACTCTGCACAAAGTCCTCCAAGTGTTCAGGAAGTGGTTCTGAAGGTTTACACTGAAATCCTCCTATATAGATAACATTAGGCATGGTCGGTCGAGGGAACTCAAACACAAAGTCCACTCTCATGAGCCACAGGTCTGCTCCTTGTAATAAGCCACAATATGTAACATCTGAGCCAAAGAATTTATTGAAAACAGCTTGATACTGAGGATGGATTAAAAATATGTCCTGTGCTTACCAGATGACATAGCAAATTAGATTTTTGACTGTCTGTATGAAAGTCATGCTGTCTGTCAGCCCAGAACCAGTTATTGGGATATACGATAATGGTGAAGGTGCAATGGCCAAGTGTCCCTCCCCACTAGTTGCGAATTGTACATTATAGATCAGAGGTAATTTCAGGCGATTAATATGCCTGCACTCCATGCTGGGTCAGTGAGGACTAGGTCATATTTGTGCACCTTTAAATTACTCATCAAATTCTCATCTTCAAGCATGATAGCCATTTTGCATATGATTCCATCATATCATTAAACATTTCAACCTGCAAACTCAAAAAGCTAAAAACCTAGCTTTGTGCTAATTAATCCTTTTTCACCTGCATTTTTAGCTGTCCTTATTCCTAACATCCTTTACCCCCCTCCAACTATGTTTATTATTTCAACTTATAGTCTCTGTATTTTAGTGGTGTAGTGGAAAATCAAATGTCACTCATCAATACGCTCACATAGCTGTAATGTGAAAATAAGGCCATGCGGGGGCAGTGCAGGCTCAACTAAAGGCCGGAGACAAAAGCAGTCTTCCTGGTTTTTCAAACGTTTCCAGAAGTGAAGTAAACCTCCCCACCATTTTTTCCACTTAGAAAGAATTATCTGAGGTATGAAAAATCAGTCATACAACAAAACAATCTGGCGAGACATCCTCAAATAGCTTTTAATTCTGTAATAAATTTCAGTGAAATAAAAACATCCCGTCCCTGGAGCGTCTTTTGTGCTGCGACCATGGATTGTCTTACAGTCTCCACAAAGTATGCAGTAAATGTCCTCAAGGTGAAAGGAAGTGCTGTGAAATTCAAGTCCTGGCAAGAGAGTCTGCTCTTTCTCAAAGAGGGCGAGGGAGAATGAATAAAGAAACTATTTAAATGACAATGTTTCCATATAGGGTTGCTAACCGTCCCTTAAAATACGGAATCGTCCCGTATTTCGAAACAAAAGTACACGTCCCGTATTGAGCTAATAAGGGACGCACTTTGTCCCGTAATACAGTGAGAATCAAAAGTAGTCTATAAATGTTTATGGAATTAACACTTTGTTTGAAAACATAATTCCCAGCCCCTCTCCTGCTTTGTGACCAATGAGCTGACAGCACACTTATGACAATTCGAGTATGACAATTCAGATTACCGCTCATCTCATTGGTCGAGGAAAGGTCGCTTGCGGAGAAAATACCGGAAGACAACAGATGACCACAACAAGAAGCATGGCCAACAGGGGAACAAACGCCGACTCTGCGGTGCAAGTCTCGGACGACAGTACACCTAAAGCTGGGCAAACACTGTGCGATTTTTTTTCAGTCACGTTATTCAGCTCCTGCTCAAACTGCACGATTGACTCGCAGGGGTTAGAAGTTCGTATGTCACGATGTACTCTCACACTATACCGCCCGATGCTCTGATGCGACCTGAGTGCTCACACTGTGCCTCCATAAGATGAAGGTTATAACAGAAAATCTGTCGCTCGCTCTCTCTGTCTTTCACTCACACAGACACACCACTACCATCAACTTTGCTAAATTGCTAATGAAAAACATGATCAGGCAGCTGTGATTGAGCAGCAGTGTAAATCCAACTATTTTCACGGTTGTTGTGGTCGTGATAATTTTGTGATGCCACATCGAAAAGGCTCGGATGAGCTTTCCAAAGTTCTACAAGTTGTGCCTCCATCGCTTGTGTCCAGTTCACACGCTGCACAGCCGTGCTGCGCCGTCTTTTTCACCAACGTTTACGTTTGCGCGTGAGCAGTGTGAGCGCCTGTGGTGACACCCTCACGAGCGATTGATGATCGGGAGCTGGTCGTGAGGTGTTAATCACTTCTCGTTACCCCACGTATACTACACGACGCACGATAAAGGCCAAAATCGGTCCGATCACTCAAAAATCGTCTCAAAATGGGCCAAAAATTGCACAGTGTGAGCCCAGCATTAGAGCAGCAATGTTTGTTCCCCTCAGAGAAAGGGAAGAATGGGAAAAGGAAAACACCTGGCTGGAAAAAGTTAATATGGACATGTGCAGTCAATATCAGCGCTATGTGGCCAGAAGTGTGATAATATAATTTATTTTGTGTAATAAACAACTGCAAGGATAGATGATTACAACAAATTGATGACTAATACATAAAAGTAATACATAGATGAATAATGATGATGAGTTATGATGCGTAATCATGGGAACAAGCGGGTTTACAAACAGGAGCAGCTGATTAGCATTAGAAAAGCTGAAATAATACCTCAACTGAAGCCAATTGTACTAAATGCACTAAATGTGCACTGTTACAAGAATATTTTTCTTTCTATTGTTTTCTATTATTTTAAGTTAAGCAGGACAGAGTGCTTTTAAAGAAAGATTTACTTATATTCTCAAAAGTTAAGCATGACAGGCTTCTGTTTAAGAAAGAGACCTGTTTTACTGTGTTAATGTTGTCATTTTGAGCTAAAAATAAATGGCTAAATGATCATTTGTTTCACATGTGTTCATATCACAAAGAATAGAATATGCATGTACTTAAATCAACTTCAAGTCAAATGGTTAAAAAAATAATTTCACACACAAAAAAAGAGCTAGAAAATTCACCACACTGGGAAGGGTGAAGACAACTGGGTCGCCCGGCCCTGGCCACGAGGTGTCCCTTATTTATTTTTCAGGGAGTTGGCAACCCTATTTCCATATAAGAACATAACTGACACACATGCAGTCAGCATAATAATAATTGTATCTATTGTGGTCATATAACTGTAGCCTTCTAAAAGGCAAAGGAATTCAAGGAAATTGTGGAGAAATGCTGATCTTTTATTTACCAAGACCAGCTGTTCTCTTTCACAATTGTGCACCTTGTCAGATTTTGTGTTTACCTGCAAGAATAGTCTATTTTTAAACTACTAATGAATCTGACATTGCTGATAGGGCATACTGTGTAAAAGTGAGAATCATGATTATGTTCTACAGTTCAAAAGATCATCAAAAACTAGTACATAAAGCTTAAAACGTGTCCTAGTGCCTTCATGGGGTATGCTTTTCCTCATGTCCTCATGAAGGGATTTATGGGAATCTCTGGGATTTGTTCTTGCCATATTGTATTGTGCTTTTTCCAGAACCAACAATAAATCCACTCAATGATGCCAGTAAACAGACAAGGCCAAATACATGTATCATATTGTACTGTTATTTATTTATATGTGAAATGTGGACAGAAATGCAGATGATCTTTTCTAAGTAATATTTAATCTCAAATGCAGAATTTAGATTAAAATCAAGTTCATCCTATAGTGATTATGTACTCTGCTACACACTAAGTCTCATATTATACCCTTTCCCTAAAGATTTTTAAGGGTTTTTATGTTTCAGTTGTGCTTTGTTGAAAAATATTGTTTATCATAGACACATTTACAAATTGGTAGTATTCAGTACATATGTCTACTCTGAGTACATGTTTGTTCATTATTCCAGTATCAATCAACTATATGCTGAAAGCCTACATAAGAACAGTACATGTTATGGATTTGAGACAAAGCCTGTTTCTCTCCACTCTGCAAACAAGGCACCCAAAGCTGTAGCTGTGCAGCTCTGGCACACCTATAGCAAACAGAATAACCCCGAGCAGGACTATAATCATATCTCAAATATGACTAGAAGTAGCTGTTTATGTGCTTTGCTTCAATTTTTGGTTAGTCTAACTGTGGTTATTAGAGGATACTTCCAGCATGGCTAGGGACAATGATACTGGCC